ACCCCAAACCCTAAATTCTTGAGGATTTAACCGAAGCCTTTCGGCCGTCTCGCTACCTGCAAGCCTGCAGGTGGGTATTTTGTTGAAACCAAGGTCCACCTCAGGTTAGGGTTTAGGGCCGGTTTGGGGTTTGGGGTTTAGGGTTTGGGGTTTAGGGCTTAGGGTTTTGGGGTTTAGGGTCTGGGGTTTAGGGTTTAGGGTTTGGGGTTTAGGGTCATGTAGACACAGAGCCCCCTCCAAAGTGGGCCCAAAAAACGTAGAGAAAAAAACCTAAGCCTTAAAACACCGCTGGATCTGTGGATCGCCCTAAAACAAAAGTGTGGCTCAAAAGTTTCAGAATGTTTCAGGCGCTGACCTTCGGCCGAGATTTCGATCAACGTCTGGACGGTGCCCTACTTGTAGAATCGTTTTTGTCTCTGAGGTTAATACTGCATAATAATAATAGTAATCCTAATGATAGTAAGCTAGTTGGTACCTAGACTTTCGAAGTACCCCCCTAAAGAGCCCCACTCTCCACAAACAGGACCTATGCAGATCGGGTTTGCGGCTAGGTTGGGGGTCCCTAAGCCCTAAACCTTACACTCTGTGGTTCCATACCCCTAAGGTGTGGTGCTGCCCAGCGGTCTCCAGACTTTGACCTTCGGCGACCGGTTCAACCAGAGTCTAGAAGGCCACTTCAAATTTGATGGGGTCACCGGTGAAAGAGGGACACAGGGTACAGAGACGTAGGGTCTAGTGATATAGGGATTAAGGGGATATGGGGTATCATGGGGGGGGTTATTCGCACAAGTAGTATGCAGAGATGAGGGTACCAGCTGCAGCCTGGATGAAGAGTTTATTTGGTCACCCCCTTCCCGAAAAAAGACGACGATCATGTGCTTACCTCCTAGGGTCCTGATCACGAACACTACACAAGCACGATATAATCCTAAAGACCCCTTGCTATTGCACACTCCTGAGTCTAAACCCTAAACCCTCGACCACAACATAACCTTTGGATCAAGCCTAAACCTTCAAACCCTAAACCCTAAAACCCTAAACCCTAAAACCCTAAAACCCTAAACCCTAAAACCCTAAAACTCCAAACCCTAAAATCCTACACCAAAAACCCCTAGAACCTTAAACCCTAAATCACCCTCTTACCACCTTAGAACCCAGAAACCTACACCCTAGAGCCCCACAGGTTGCACGCTTCCAAGTCAGCTTCAAACTTTGACCTTTGGCTGGCACTTGAGGATGGTCCCTCAATTCCGGTGGAAACGGTGTCCGCCCTACACCCTAAGCCCTACACCTTAAATCGTACATCTCAAACCCTACACCTGAAACCCTAAAACCCTAAGCCCTAAACCCAAAAGCCTAAACCTTAAGTCCTAAGCCTTGAGCCCTACGCCCTAATCCTTAAACCCTTTTTTGCCCTTTTTGACACTCCCACCCAGGACCTTCGGCTGGGCATTCAACCAGAGCCTGGACGGAGTCCTTCTTCCGAGCAGCTTGAGGACACATTTATAGAAATTGTATAGGGTTTGGGTCCCAAAAAGTTTTGACCGAGTTTTGACCGAAAGTTTTGACCGAAAGTTTAGATTTTTGCTTTGTCCAAAACTGGTTTGGTGCAGGGGGCGGCCCTGAGACTGGGCTCCCTTGATCTCAGTTTCTTGTCCAAAACTCTTGCTTTGTCCAAAACTCGGAGGGGTATAGGGTTTGGGTCCTTGA